ACACACAGAGTCCTTATTATAAAGCCCGCTGACACACCCCCAAACCTTTGAGATTTTAAAGCAAACACACTATGTTTCTGAGAGCCAACTTTATCCCTTTACCACCAACTTTTGGTCCAAATTTGAATCATTCCCACACACAGAGTCCTTATTATAAAGCCCACTGACACACCCCCAAACCCTTGAGATTTTAACATATGCACTCCTCGATGTTGTGGTGCAACCTTATCGTTTGCACTAATGGATTGAATGGGAAACACTGGAAATCACTAACTGATATCAAGTTAAAAGAGACAAGGTTCAGGCAAAGATGGTTCACTAGAAAAGTAAATTACCACAAACAAGTTACAGTGTCACAGATCACTGTTAGGCCTATATGTTTTGATGCCAAATACTCTGCATGCTAATATCTAAATACCTCGGTTTGAGATCCTCCTCATCCAGGACCAGATCCTCCATCCCACCTCTTTATCTGATGACATCAGTGATATGATGGATCCCTCCCAGTGCTCCCAGGTCTAGATAGCATTGATAGCCTGCTGCATACTGATGATAATGCTAGCGGGGAATACCAGAGCTGGTTGGAGCCTGACAGCTGATAATAGATTGGAGAGGAGGAGGGGTGATGTTGGGATGAATGACAATAATTGGAGTAAGGTGAGGTTAGAAGGGTGTGTGTGTGTGTGTCTAGGGGGAAAGTGAGGTGGAATAAAGGTCAGGCAGAATGTGTGAGGTGTGGCCGGTGGCTCATTAGTCTACTTCACAGCAGGGACATGTTTTAGAAACACCAAATTCCATTTATATTTAAATTTATGACTATTTAGCTGATGCTTCTCTCTAAATGATCTCATCAACAAGAGAGCTTCTTTATTTAAAAGATCATTTGTTTTGCTACTGCATACAAACTCAAGGCTGAACTATAATTTAGGGTCGTAAAAGCTGAGTTGTTTATCTATTTTCAGTAGCTTTCAAAAGTGGTGCACGAAGCTGGTGGGGATTTTAGTAACGCAGAGGAAGATGCTGACTCAAGAGACCATAAATTGTCCATGGCAGGTTTGACTGACAGACAATAACCCAGATGTTTGCAATGCAGATAAATATGGATACTTTGATTTCTTTTCATTTACAACATGTTTTAAGCCCAGCACCCTCTTGACCTTTGGTGGTGTGTGGTAGCTCAGAAAACTACAAATTAAACTATTTGTTTTAAGACCATCTGATCAGTACTTCAGACCAATTAAACACTGAACATAATAAACATATTTTCTTTTAGTAAAGGTTAGTCATGCAGTTCTCATGCTCAAAACTGCAGGGAGATGTACAAACCATCTTGATGAAGGTAGGTCACAAACAATCATAAATTCCAACTGACATTTTGGTGCAACCATGCTCTACAGAGCCTTCAGATGCCTTTGAAAATGCTCTAAAATATAAAAATAAAAAATTTACTCGGATCTCATCACATCTCAACACGTTAAAGGATTTTCTTTCTAGACCATTATTTAAAAGCTTGTGGCCTCTACAAGTCAGTGATGTTGGCTGGTGACCTTAAGGCCATCAACTCGCACGTTAAAGCTCACATTGTTGTGTGTTTGTGTTAATCATTATCTACAATGTTCACAACACAATGGGACAAGCTGAGAGTACAGGCTTTGTGATGCAGGGGAGCACTGCTGCCAAAATACAGGGCTGAAAAAGAGGCGGAGCAGAGAGAAGGGAACAGAGAGGGCAGGGAGGAGGGTCCCACAGCAAGAGACCTGCTATTAAGAACATGTCATCTGATGTATTGGTGATCCTGCAGGTACAAACATATAGTGTGCAGCCAAACTGATTCAAACCACAAAGCTTTATTATAGAGAGTGATAACAAAGATTCTACCTATTACATCAGGGTGAAATTAGGGAAAATGTGTATAAAATGATGCAAAAACATCCAAAATATTTCTAATTTATGGGATGGTGCAGCAGCAGTTGGGCTGCTCAGCTAGAGCCTGTACTGGTTTGTATATATATATATATTGTTGTACCCGGTTCTTCTTACCATGCTAACTTTGAGAGACGAGACAGTCCAAGTAACTTCAAAACAGTGCTGATTTATTCAAAGGATCACAGGTAAAATTAACATTACACGCTCAGGTATCTTGCACCTCCAAACTGCACGCAGGCAGATGTAAGATGAAAAACCCTGAACCCACCAGGCCTATACATTATATCCCCTCGGTTGGACTAGCCCCATACTACACAGAAACGTCAACCGCGACGTCTCTGTTACCAGCTTTGCAGCTGGTCATAGCAGTAGTCAAAACATGAAGTAAATCAATGTGTGTGTGTGTGTGTGTGTCTGTTGGTTAAGTGGTGTGTAACTAAAAACATTCTCACAGACCTCTAGTAACATGTCGTGGCTTAAACATAAGAACATATTATGACTAAGGCTACAGTTATACACGTCATAATAATAATATTAAACACCCTGTCTGCTGACAGTCATCAACTCTTCTCTCTAGTTATCCTTGACCAGATGTACCCTGTAGAAACTCATAAGCATGCCTAAGCATTTAACAGTCTAACTAGACATCCTATCTCCACTAAACATTTCTAATACATAAAGTATCTATCCAGTTTCTATCTGACTAAAAATACCTAACAATATAGAACATATACATAATACAGGTGTTACAACCGCTTCCTGTTGCATTCTAACTTACAGGAAAGTACTCTGATTACTTTAACACTACGTTGTGAATCCTACCTCAACTGAAGCTCAATAGGACATGAAGTTACTCAGTGGAGGGTTGTCTCCCCTCGCCCCCTAAATGCACACACCTACACACACCCAGCTGTTTACATGAAGATGGATATCAATGACAACCAGCGTTGTCCCTCTCCTCTTCTCCCTTTCTT